TTTATGTATTTTAAATGATATTTTTTATATAAAGTGTATTAATAAATATATTTTTTTTACTGATAACTTTGTGTAATGTATTTTTTATGCTAAATAATTTTGTACTTTTTTTTATTATTGATGTATTAAAATTTTATTTTGTAATTTTTTAATATTAAAATGATACCATATAAATAAAAATTTAACAAACTCAAACAAGTTTATTTCATTAGAATAAAATATAAGCAAATTTAAGATTAAATATACATATATACCAATTTATTTGAAATAAAAAAATGAATAAAAAATAATATATTTAATGTAGAGTAAAATGTAGAGATAAGGGTTGGAGATGAATGTTCAACTCTACTCTAGAGTAGAGTAAAGTCCGCACTAGAGTAGAGATAAGGGCTGGAGATGGCCTAAATGAGAAAACAAGTAAAGTGAAACACTGCCCCTGAACCTAATTTTTTGTTTTACGATCTGGGGTTATTGATCGTAAGTTGATGCGATACAATGAAATAACTTGGCTATTCCCTAACAGTACTGCTGGGTTTTAGGTTTTTTTTTTTTTGGCTTACACAACACAAAGATATTCGACTATAAGCAAGCACACATATAAAGTTTTTGATGAATGAAGGAAAACGGAAAGGAAAGAGTCACTCGTAGATCTACATAATAATAGTTGCAGACAACAACTACTTCATGTTGAATTTAGAAGATATGACCCTTCTATATGAAATGCCATAATGAGATGCACTTGAAGCAGCAGCATAATAGGTCGTGGTGCAGGTTCCCTTTTCCAAGCTTCTCTTCATAGACTTTCCGAGTCCCCATTTCAAACTCGATACTACTGTCAGACACTCGACAATGCCGGCGGGTCACGGGTTGAGGGCGCGCACCACGGATCTGTTTGCTCGTCCTTTCAGGAAGAAGGGTCCGACCCATTTGTCCACTTACCTTCGGGCCTACAAAATCGGTGACTATGTCGATGTGTAGGTAAACGGGTCGATCCATAAGGGTATGCCTCACAAGTTCTACCATGGCCGAACCGGCCGCGTCTGTAACGTCACCAAGCGCGCTATTGATGTTGAAGTCAACAAGCAG